TTTTTTTGAGCACATGGTTTGTTATGGGAACGGTGGTTTTATGGCGTCGGGGACAAGTCAGGGTGTCTCTGGGAGAGTGTGGTGCACACAAGGCGTGCTTTGAGGCCCCATCCCACTGCTAAAGGGTCTTATATCCATTATCCCAGGTTTGTAGCTAATAATTCCCCCTCCAAAATTCCCTCTATCAGCCAAAATCCCACCTCCTGCTGATGAGAACCGGCTCATCGGCCCGGCACGGCGTGGAGGCAGAGCCCTGTCCTCATGCAAATCATTTTACACCTTCCCCAAGGAGTAAATTTCCTTTGCCCTTTGCAGCTGCTCCGGCTGCTGCTTTTCTCCCTCTTTTCACGGCAAACCAAGCGCGGCATTTCCCCATACCGACCTGGCACCCCTGCCCGGCTCTCCTGCCCTCGCCCAGCAGGAACTGGCACCAGGAACCGAAACCGGTCCCTGCCCCAGGCGTCGCTCAGCCCTGTGCAGCCCCGGGAGCTATTATGGGACTAAACCCACTTTTTTTGGGCAATTCGCTTTTCTAGCGGGACTTTCGAGGTGTGAAAGCTGCGACGCTGCGTTTGCAAGTGGTGCTGGAAAATCGAGGCGGCTGCTCCCCAAAAGGGTCCTGCATCCCTCTTGGCACCCCTTTTTTTTACCAAAAAAGATGATTTCTAACCCCAGAACTCCCTTTTTCCCCTCGCAGTTACAGCTCTGCTGAGTTTTTCCGGCCCCCAGGAGCGATATTAAATTCCAGCGGCGCGTGACCCTGCAGGGAGTTGGTGGGGGGACAGCTGCAACGGCAAAGGGCTCTCCCACGCCGGGACGAGGATTTAATTAAAACAAAGACGATTAAAGCAGCGGCGGGCTCTGCTCTCCCCACCACAGGTGACATACCGACCCCCTGACCCATGCAGCACCCAGGGGATGGGGCGAGCACCCGACTTGCACCTCCAACCCCCTCCCACCCCACTCCTCAAAATAAGAATTAAAGCCAATTTTTTGCCAGCTGGGCAAATAAAAAACCCTTTAGGAGGAGAAATAAAACCCCGCGGAGCCCGGCGTTGGCACGTCCCCAGCTCGGCTCTGGTGTCATGCTGAATATTTTACAGCGTGGGTTTAAGGGCGACCGGTCACATCGGCGTCTAAGAGGGGAGAAAACCACCCTGAGCTTCTTAAAAAGAAAAAAAAAAAACCAC